GCCATATCTTTCTTTAAGCTATACGTGTTTCTCATGTGGTAGCAAACCTTTTCTCTTTGAAGTCAGTGTTAGATCCAAGCTTGTCATATGGCATTTTTATAATTGAAAACATGTGAAGAATCTTTCACTCAAATTTAAACTCTGTTGCTATTCTAGTAGGTGCTTAGCAGCCAACTCTTTGCTAGTATTGTCTAGGTGTTTATGCAAATAAGTCTATATGGCTAATACTAGCTAAGACAAATATATCTATATGTAAATGTTTCTACATGCTGAAAAATTAGAAATCAGTTTGTCTGTACTGGAGATTGCTTTCCTTGAGGATAATATGATGGAGAATCACAAATGGCTTGAACACAGGAACCAACCAGTGGTCTAGATAAATTGGGATATGATAATTAATAATTTTAACAAAGATCTTCGTTGATGCAGTCTAACGAAAGAGGGACTTTGTCATTTATGAAAATATTTGGAATAGAATTGTTGATTCGTTTTTTGTTTTTACTTGTTCAAATGTCATTTTGATCGTGATTATCATGTTGAGGGTCAAGAAGCATATAGAATTAATTACTTTCCCCATGTAGATCAGCCATTCTTCAAGATAGTGAGATTGAGAACTATGCTGTTTATCAAATGAAATTAGGAAAGTTAAAGTGGAGGAATGCTTCTTATGGCTTACGTGACTGTGGAATATGTATGAAATTGGACTGAAAATTCTATAAGTCTATTAGACCAACAGCTCTGTGTGGATCACAATATTATGAAATTAAAAAAATGTGTAAAAATGAACATACTATTAATGAGAATCTTGTGGTGAACATGTGGATATACTCTAAGAACGTGATAAGAAATAAGTGCGCATTAAGAGGAAATTAGAGGTTTCACCTATTGAGGATAAAATGAGAGAACCGAGGAGTGGGTTTTTTTCATGTGCAGTGGAGAAGACTAAATGCATCAAAAATAGGTGGTATTGTGATAAGATTAGAATTAATGGAACGGAGGGCTAGATGTAGGCTTAATAGAACTTGGTTGGAAACAATTAAGAAGGGCGTGATAATTATATTGAATGAAAAGATAGGATTCATATAGCTGAATTGTTGTTGTTATTCTTGTATTATAATGTCGATGGTCTTATAAGACAACTAGATAAATCTGAAACCAGAGAGGTCCAATAAGATCAACCTGGTGCAATTTTTTTCCCTCTCTTAAATAAATGAACAAATAGATCATTAAAATATATTTATAATTTGAAGCTGATGTCTCACATTACTCTCTTCAGCTTGGGTGCAGATATAATTTATGATCCAATATGTGTGCCACATCTCATTCAAGTGCTTTCAATCCTCTTGAGTGGTAATGCAAATGACTGTGAATCTACACATCATGATGAGGATCAAAGGAATAATACTTCAGATGGTGATGTGATGAAAGTGGAACCACCAATTGCATACATAGCTCAAGTTATTAGGAATCATGAGACATTCAATTACTTCCTTAAACTAGCGGAGGAATCTTACCTCTGTGTTGTCGATATAACTGAGGAAAAGCAACCCTATAACTTACTTCCTTACATGCTCTCATACGACCGATCATCTGTACGACTCTTTAAAGTATCTTCATTGAGAAACTGCAATATTTTGAGGTAATCATATTTTTGTTGAGAACTAGTTGTAATATTGTTGCATTTGCATTCTTATTTTTCTGCATGATCATGGTTAATTCACTGTTCTGTAAAAAATAAAATAAAATAAAAGGTAGTTTCCCTCATGCGTTTATGCCTTGTGGCACCTTAGGATATTTGTTGAATGGGCTTTTCCTTTTTTTGACTATAACATAGGATGCTTACGAGTGCTTTCTCCCAATTTGTTTTTCCTTCCTTTCTTGCAACTAGCTTTTTCATTTCAATTTTCTGTTGAAGGTTGGAGCTGATATTTCTTTGTATCGTTTTATGTCAGATGTTATGTAAAGGGCAGAACATTTCAAGGTTTTGATTCTGGGTTTCAGTTTTTTTACTTTTTTTTTCCTTCTCCGTTTTCCCCTTTTTTCATCTCTTAGCATCTTTTATTAGGTCATAA